AAAAAAAGAAGCAGAAATACCTGCATTGTTATTCTGGCCTAAAATGAAAGCTTAGTTAACGCAATGCAATGTTGTGACATTTACGGTAAAGAGCAAACTTTACAGTTTATCTCAAAGCTCAACAAAACACAGCAACATAAGATGCAAGAATCATCGTGAAATCATCAAGAGATGCAAATTCAACCTTTTTACACTCAGTTTACACCTAAAACAAGGCTGCTTCTCTCCTTCACTCTTGTCTCTTACAGCTTTTTTTCTTCTGGCCTTAAACGCAACACGCACACCATGTTGCTGCTCCCTCTTTCGAACCAAAAATGATGGGTGTTGATATGTATGCGGGTCTTTTCATTGGATGCCCAACACGCTGGCGCTCGACGACAGTTTCTTTCCTCCGTTTTGGTATCTATGGGCACTTTTCTGTTGGCCCCCTTCCCCCCCATCCAGTCCATCATAATTCCAAACACTGATTGGTTTTATGCCGAGTCAGACGGTGGCGTGCGGCCTTCCCAGTACTTCTGATACGACATTTCGAACATCTCCCTGCACTGCAGCTGAGCATTCAACCGGGAGCAGATGAGGAACGAGCCGCCCATCTTACGGTGGAGCGAGTACGTCTCCTCGGGGGGCGGGGTGAGCCGGTGTTTGAGCATCACGGGGATGAGGTTGTGGATCCTCTCGGTGGTCGACTGGGAACCGAAGTCGAAGGGCTCCGAGGAGGCAAAAGCCTCGCCGAGGATCATCACTGCATCCACGTGGGCATTCACCATTGCCTGGACAACACAAGTAAAAAACAAAACAAAACAAAAGAACAAAAAAATTTAATAAACCAAAACACATGCTTAACACATTATGTTTGCACACTTTTACAACTCTTATTTATTTGTTTATGGCTACTCCACAGTGACAGAGGCATCATTTGTAAAGCAGAGCAGGCAGAAAAAGCTCAAAGAGATCATTACCTTGGACTCGTAACCGGTCAGGAACTTCATCTCGATAGATTTCTTTAGTACTCCCTCCCTGTTGCCCATGGCAGCT